AAATATAAACTTAATCTAAACAACGTTCATATTAAAATAAATACATAACAAATTTGTTACAACTCCCTTCTTAGAGAATTAAAAATTGGTTTTAGACAATTTTTAACTAAAATATTATATATATATATATATATGTATATATATATATTGACAACATTACATTTAAATATGATACATTATTCAAAAGATTACACAACTTCAGTAATCATTAGAATATATAATACAACCAATACAAATCACCATATGATCATAAAATTACATAGTACATGAAAGTACATCGGCATAAATGTTATAAACCCTTATGATATGGATAATCTTCAAACCATATTTTCATAATGATAAATTGCAATTTAACAGCCATATTTTTTTATGTGTGTGTGTTTTCTTTTTCCTTCTTTCTTTGTCTTTTCTTTCTCCCTTTCTTTTTCTTTTTGATTAGATATCCCATAATGGGTAACAATACTAAGACCATCTTACATTCTTCAAAAGCTGGGATAGGTTTCAAAGAAGCAACATAAATCTGGTTAGGTTTTCCGACCAACTGACAGGTATGACAAGTTTTGCAAAACTGAGAAACATCTTGCCTAATTTTGGCCAAAAGAAATGTCTCATAATTTTGTCACATATCTTGTTGACACCTAAATGATCTCCCATGGTGAGTTCCTGGGCAACTCTCAATATTTCTGAACGATATGCTTTGGGAACAATGATTTGATAAACAATAGCCCAGTCCTCTGAAGCTGGCACATCTGGTGGTCTCCATTTCCTTATAAGTATACCATTTTTGAAAAAATAACCATCTGGAACTTTCTCCAGTTCATCTATTGGGAGTGCATATTAAAATAGTGAAGAGCTCTGCAGATCTTTATCTTGTTCAGTGATCAGTTTACTTTTAGTAAATGGAACTTCACTAGGCGAATCAGATCCCTCACGTCCATCGTTGTCCCTCACCGAGAAATCATCAGTAGGACAATTATCCACAAGGTCCTCGTCAGATCTAAAACATTTTTGGGACAAATCTATAACATTGTCCTCTGAATCCATGTCTATCAGTTGTTTTTGACTTAATTTCTTATCCTGAGCTTGAGTCACAGCACAAGAGGGAAACACATCGGGATTCTCCTCAACTACAACATCATCCTTAGATGAAACAGTGATCATCTCACTAACCATTTTAGGTTTGGCAACAACTTTTCCCCCAGCCAAATCGTTTCCCAACAACAATGATACCCCCTTAATTGGCAGAGTAGGTCTTACTCCAACCACAATCGATCCCAAAACTAGGTCTGATGCTAAATAAATATTAAGAAAAGGAATATTAACAAACCCACCCTCAATACACTGAGCAATAACAGACTCACCAGTGGCAGAACTCGAATCTAAAGGCAATATACCTTCTAACAACAATGATTGAGTTGCCCCAGTATCATGTAGAATAAATATGGGTATGGGATTGCTAGTGTCATTTGCCAAAGATACAAAACAAACAGACACAAAAGGTCTAAATTCCTCCCTGATTTCATCAGCTTTAAATATCAGTGGCCAAATCAATAACATTGGAAGATCTGGTGAAACTATATCCATATGTGGACACAAACACACTGGGTGTTGCCTCCTTTTCTTTTTCAAACACCAACAATCGGACATAACATGACCAGGTTTTTTACAGAAATGGCAGACAGACCTTGATTGTTTTAAAGAAGTTTTATCCTGACTGTCAAAAGATTTTGAACAAGAGGAGTTGGAATTTTTGGAAGAATCCTCAACTTTAGTGGATTGAACAGATACAGGTTTTTGTTGAGATGGTAGGAATTTCTTTTTATCAAAAAGTGGTTTTATTTGTTAAAGTGTAGTCATCAGAAAGAGCGGCTGCTTCCTGTAGTGTTTCAACTTCCTTTTCATCAAGTACGTTTTGAGGTCATCATGTGCACAACGTTTAAATTCCTCAATTAGACATAATTGTCTTAATTTATCGAAACTATTGCCAATATGCATAGAATTGCACCATCAATCAAAATAAACCTCTTTTTTTTTGTGAGCAAATTCCATATAAGTTTGATTATCTTATTTGTGATAACCTCTAAACTTTGGCAATAAGCCTCTGGTACTAACTCTTATACTTTGAGAATAGCTGCTTTAACCTTATCATAGTTCATACACTCTTCTAGAGAAAGAGCAGTATAAGCTTCTTCTGCTTTACCAGTTAAGAAACTTTGTAATAATAATGGCCATTTTTCGTTGGGCCATTCCATGGTTTGGGCAACCTTCTCAAAATGTTGGAAATATTTATCAACTTCATTTTCATTAAATGGTGGTATCTTAAGATATCGATTAAGCTCAAAGTTGTCATTTTGCCTTAGTCGGTCAGTGTTGAGTCAAATTTCCATTTCTTTCAGCGTAATTTCTTTTTCAGTTTCAATACGAGCTTGTTCTTTCTTGGTTTCGATTCGAGGCTGTTCTTTCTGGGCTTTGATTTGAGCCTGTTCTTTCTCGGCTTCAATTCGAGCACGTTCTTTCTTATTCTCAGTTTCGATACAATCTTCTTCGAGCTCGAGTTGCTTGAGTTTTAGCTGTATCTCTAATTTATCTTTATCACTCAACCCCAATTGGCTAGTAGGGACACTATAGTATTCCTCTAATGCTTCCTCAGGCAACAAATCATCATCGACTAGTATTTCGATAATACACTTTTTAAGTTCATTTTTTCTCATTGATCTTTTAACTTCTAGTTCTAAAACTTTGGCAATTTCGAGCAATTCATTTTTGTTATATTTTTCTAGTTGTTCGAGGGAGGGTGATACAAGAAAATCTTGATAATCAGACATGATCAAATCTTGTTGGCACTGATAAATATAAATTCAATTTAGTCGAATTTTATCTCTGATTCAGATCCCGGACGAGCCTCAATTTATTAATGTTACGTATTAGAATTTCATATAGTCCGAAGCCAAGTTAACTGATAATTTAAATTTAGTAATTAAATTGTACTTTAGATTCAGTATTTAAACATATGCTGATATATTAGTCAGTTTAAGATATTTACCAACAAGATTGATACACACCATTTTCGTTTTTAACACAAATACGTTTTAATATACACACACAACAATACAATTTACAGTAACAATTATTACAAATAGTTATTACAAACAATGATTTGTAAACAGAAGTTTCATAAACTTAGAAACAATATAAAGTTTTCTTTCTAGTCTGGAACCTAGAGTTCACAATGAGCAAGTTAATTTCAAGTCGATGTAGATACAATTCGCCAGGAAGCTAGCTAGCCACACACACTGTTAAATGATTTGTAACGTTCGAAATTTATAAATATTCTGGTCGAATATCTTAAGTTTTCCGATAGATAAGCATTATAAAAATCACAGTTACAGCTTTTGAAGTTTATAGCACACTGATTATAGCGAATTACTAATACACACTCTCTTTTAGGTGCATCTCATTGGTTGTATTTATAGGCGTGGGAAGGTTTTCTAGAAACTTCAGATTACATAACAATACTGAGCTATATTTAAACATTTACCTATATAGATACATTGTTGATTCCTACTCTCGAGAATCTTCTACAACTTTGGAGAATAGACGAGAGTTTTGCAATACAATATGTTTTTAAATATAAGCTTAATCTAAACAACGTTCGTATTGAAATAAATGCATAACAACAAATTCATTACATATTACATTACAGTAATTTTTGTTACATCATTCTTAATGCTGCTATGTATTCTTCTATTAATAAGGGGACATAATGATATTTCAGTTATATGTTTTTCATTGCATGCCACTACCCAAAAGGCCTTTGCTCAAACCCAGAGCTCCCTATGTTGGCTTACAACATATGAAACTGTTAGTCGAAACACACTATACTGCTTAGTTCTTTAACAAAAAAATGTACCTAAAGCTCAAATTTTGAGACCAAAACATATATTTTTGTGTAATGTACATTGTTGAAAGTTTGGGTGCAATAAGAAGTAATTTTTGTACATTGCTCTCATCATTCTCAT